GAGTCACCTCCAAGATGGTATCAGGTACTAAAGGCTGGTGCTCTGAAACGGGGCCTCTAATGGTGTTCCATTGCTTGCAAAAGACAAATGAAGATGGATGAATATGAATTGTCAGTTTTCTTCTCATCAGCCTCTACAGCTCTGTTGCAGGTAAAATGTCATGCCAGGAAAATGGTAATTTATGGCCTGAGCAACATTTATCAATTAAAGTGTTACTTGAGAGGTGTGTTTTGCCAGGCTGCTCTGCCTTGACTGGTGTTACTGAGCAGCACTTTTATCCCTGTGCATGCTTAGTGTGGTTTCTGCTTTGTTCCCCCTTGCTGGCTGGGGGCTTGGTCGCACCACCAGATGTAGCAAATAACCCATCCCTGGAGGTGCTCAAGGCCAGGTTGGAGGGGCCCTGGGCAGCCTGGTCTAGTACTAGATATGATATCTACACAGAGGTGCCTAATGCTTAGTGTTTAGATGACTTTAATATAGGAATTAGTTCAGTTGCTTTCCCCTCCCCACTTCTGAACATGCACGAGTGCACTGGAGAATTTAGTGGTTGAAGCAACAACTGCTCCGGAGTCTATAATCCGTGTTCTTTCCTCTTTAAAGGAGGCTGTTGGAGGGAGGGAAGAGATTAGTGAGGATATTTTGATCCCCATCAGCTTCAGCTTGCAGGATAAACACGAAGAATTTCCCCATCGTTGTCATGTTAATTGGTTCACAGCTTGATCCAAAGCTCCCTAAAGTCAATGAAAGTTCCTATTCTTTCCAACTGCTAGCATAAAATCGGCAGAAATGCTTTTCTCGGCGCAGGCAGGGCAGTTCAGCCCTCAGTCGTGGGGCTTTAACAGCCTTCTCCGTCAGAAAAAGTTGTGTTCAGGTTTGGGAAAAGCCTCGAAGAAGTGATCTGTGGCTCTAGAAGGTGCAACTCAGAGCTCTGGCGGTGATGTGGTGGTGGATGGGGCCATTAGAGAACCTTCTGAGCTCTGCCATGCAGCCAGGTCTCCATCCCCATTGCTGCCCACTCACTTGTACCACTCTTCCCACGCTTACCTATGGGGATTTATGGGAGACAGCATCAATGCTCTGTCCCTTCATCGAGGCACTTCATAAATGGAGACTTCACGCTCACTAAGAAGGGCAGAAACTCTGCACCTACCTGGATTGTGGGCAGGAGACAGCAATGTGTACACTGAGCTCCAGACTCATTAGGAAATTAAGCTGTATTTTTGTTATAACTAGTGACTTCCTTTAGAAGTTCTTGTAATTAGGATATTATCCATCTTTGAGTGCTTTATTAGCACTGACAGTTACCTGGAGGCTCTAGACAGACTGAGCACCAGCATGTTGATATATTGCCCTGTCCTGCCATATCCCATCCCTGGTTTCCCTACTTGGAATGGCAAACTCTCTACCCAAAGAGTCCTGTCAGACTGATGAGCACTGGGATACAAGCAATGGAAGATCAAACTTTTACCCTTACTTTGAAGATTGAGGCTGTATAAAACTGTATTTTCTGTTTCAGCCTTTTCCATCAGTCCTGGATAAGCGAGCTTTTAGCCCATGCACTGCTGTGCTCATTTCCAGAGCATCCACAGTTGTGGGGAGGGCTCAGTAGAGCACCTAGGATCAACATATCTGTTGTTATCTGTGTCTTAGCAGAGCGGGTGGAAAAAATGTATACGTAAGGACGATGCTGTTAGAAGGTTTTCTATTTTCTTCTACGGAAGAGGAGGGAAAAAAGGCGATATTTGAAGCTGGGAAGGGGACTGCTGCCCTCTTATGGCTTCTGAGGCGCACAGCGGGGAAGGGGCTGAGAGGAGCCCCCTCCAAAGGTCTGAGAGGCTCAGAGGGAAGCCCAGATTCTCCAAAAGAAGAACTTTGTGCTTGCTGAGATTTGCTGCGTGGCACTTTGTCTCAGTGGGTCTTAGGTGTGTGTGTATCATGGGAACGTCCCACTGCTGGTGTCTGGGGCGTGTGTCTGTGGGCAGGAATGAGTCGTGGTGCAGGTGATGGGTCACCCTCCTATAAGTCAGTGACTGATATGCTAATAATACCAAATCTGGGGACAGGGGTTTAATTGAGTGTAAACACAATGTGTCAGCTGACATAAATTTTAGGAGTCCAAAGGGGTGATGTTTCCTCTAAAAGCAAAAATGTGGGAGGGTTCTGTGCGTTATCAGTGAGCCCTGCTTCAACAAGGCTTGGCTGCAAGCATCATAATGTGTTCTCCAGCAGCACTTCACTGCCCATAGCCCAATTCCCTGAGGAGCATCAGTGTTACTCATAGGAGTGTCTGCTACCACGCAGATCCCATCACCTCGAAAAAAGTGGGTTCTGAACCACTTTTGTTCAAGAGCATCCAGAAAAGGGACACTTCTATTCGGACCAGAGGGAAGATTTGAGTGCTTGCAGTGCATCTCTCCAAGTGGGTATTTCTCTCTTGGAGTTCCCTGCAGCAGAGCTCCCCTGTGGATGCCATCTACCCCAGTTGGTACTGGCTGCAGCTGGGATCCACACATGACCTGTGTGCCTGCGAGGGCACTCTTTCATGCTATCCTGTACGTTTTAACACAAAAATTCCTCAAGCTGCCTTTATACTCAAATAAATTTCATGGGTCTCATTTGCAGAGGAGACACCTGCAGAAAAAGCTGTGGTTGTGCATTTATCCCCATCGGTGTGACCAGATCTGACATCCGGGGGATGCGCTGCCACCTCACCCCATGCTGGTTTGGAGCCCTGCCCCATACGGCCAGAAGGGCGATACTGACTTTTAATTCTGATGCTTCTGTAATAAAAGGCGCTACCTCACGGGTGGTTTGGCTCTTGATTTAGAATGGCGGTGGTTAATTGTGGCGGTTCCCCCATGCTTTTAAATAGCACGAGCCGGATGGCTCTTTAGCAGAACTGCTCCTGGGGGACAGGAATTGGTTTTATCGGCGGCACTGCAGCTGATAGCAGCACTGAACAGAGCTGCTGTGCTCTGCTTTCTGCTGCTGAGGGCTCTGACCGCGCTGTCACAAGGAGGTGCCGGCACCAGGCGTTCCTCTGTGCGTTATGAAGTCTTTTCCGTGGCTGCTAATTGTTAAGGTCATTGGTAATTTACTGCGTGTTGAGCACCTTGTGTGTTTTCCAAGAAAAAAGCTGCTGCTTTTTGGCAGCTCTGCAGCAGAACTTCTCCGTAGGGCGAAACTTTGAGTGAAGCATAGGTCTAAACTAGATTTGGGGGAAGTAGGAAACAGAGCTGCTGTGGCAATCACCTGCTATCAAACTACCCTGGCTGCAGGGCCAGGATTTGCCTCGTTCTTTCCCTTGGCCCGGCACTGCACCTCCACTGCTGGCAAGTGATGAATGGGTAAAGCTACTCTGTTTAGATAAGGTGGGAGCTTGGTGCCGACAGTGCGTGCCCTTTGCTTCTTTACCTAAGGGTAACTGCCAAAATCTGCTCTTGTTTGGAGAAGGAATGTACTGAACGGCTCCATTCATTTCAATTCTGGCTGGCTGGCGAGAGCCAGACTCATTCCTATATCCTAAAAGCAAAACACAAGGGCGGTTTGTGTTGCATTCTCTTTTTCCTTCCTCTGTAGCAGTGCAGTGTCAGCCCCTGCACCATCTCCTCTTATTGAGCTTTTCTTCAGGAAACGGATACCTGAACCACCTGACTCCTTGCAGACAGCAGCATTCCTTCCCACGCCCCCAACACCCTGCAGGCAGCAGCTCTGCACAACAGGAGCCCCGAAGCGATGCCGAGCCGCTCCTTTTCCCAGCAGGAGCCACCTCTGACATTGCTCTGCTCCACCGACTTCATTTCTCTCCAAGCAAGTGCCTGATGGCAGCGTAAGTGCGCTGCCTGATGGGTGCTGGCGTGGTGCAACACTGACAGATGCACGCTGAAACCGTGTGAAAAATTTTGCAGCCAAAGCAAAACTGGCAAATGTTTGACTTGCTGCCAGCTTAGCTCGTGGGTGCAAAACATCTGATACTCGAACTGAAATGTTTACAGCAGGGAAAGTCGTTCTAAGCATGGTTCTTGTCAGAGAGAGCAGATAACAGCTCTCATGGCACTGAGCTATCCCGTTCCCCAGGTCCTACAAACCCTGTTTTGTGTTTCTTTGCTCTGTCCTCATAATGCTTTTGGATAAATGCTTAAAACTTTCCTTGTTGGTTGCTTTGAAAGAGCAAAGCTGCGAAAAGCATAATGCTTTAATCCTGAAGCTTTATTTTTTGTGACATAAATAGTGAGAAGTCACCTCTTGCGTTGCATCCCCTCCTAGAGATGCTTTACTTCACCTGTGAGCATCTCTTGCATCATAGGGCAGATGCCAAGCATGGCTGTGACAGTCCTATTGCAAAGGAAAATCGTGCAATAAAACATTGTCCTTGTAGCTGCAGAGGTAGGAGAGGAGGAGAGGAAGGTGCTGGCTGTTCTGCATGGTTTAGTACTGTCCCAGCCCTTGGATCCCAGACTGCACACACGATCGACGCAATGCCTTCAATCTTCCCATCCTCTGCACCCAATAGGCAGCGATGCGTTCACAGTAACACGCAGCCATGGCAGCCCTGCTCTGTGTTACAGCAGCTCCAGGAGGTGGGAGCTTTGTGGGGCACTCAGAAAGGCATCTGTGGGGTATGAAGGGGTGAGCTGGCCCTTTGTACTTTGCAGTAGTCCTTTGTATCACGTCTTTCCAAGCCTGGGCAATGGCTTTAACAGCCTCTTGGGCGTGTGGGGCTGGTGGCTCTTGGTGCCCCTTTCCTTTTAGGGGAGGGTTTCTGCTGATCCCTCTGGCTACCAGCAGTAGTTCATCCTGCAGGCAGGTGCTGGTGTTGAGTGCTTCTGCTCAGAGGTGCTCAGGCAGCATATTTCCAATGGAAGCTGATAGATGTTACCCAACATCTTTCATCAGAAAAGTAAAATCAATGTGCTTTGAAGAAGCAACAGGCTATTGTGTTAATTGAGCTATGCACGTAACTTCAGTCTGAACACAAAACATCAGTCGGGATTGTCCACGTTAAACAGTCATTTTATTTTAGACCCTCTTTTTGGTGATGTCCTTAAAACAGGATGACATCTTTTGATGCGTTTTCAATCGGCCTTTCCTGTTCTTTCTTCTTAGAATATCTTGCATGGTCGTAGAAATAGATGATGATAATAGTAACAATGTTGAAAATGATGCTGAGCAGCAGGATCCAATAGGAGTACTCGTATCTGTGTTCAGATCCACTGTGTGGCAGGGACAGAGAAATACATTTGATGGCCAGCTCCACAGACATGTCATTGCCTTCCACATTCACAGGAAAAAGTATCATGACCAAAAGTGTGAGGATTCCTGGAAAATAAATAAAAGCGTGACTTTTAGAGGTGGATCTGTAGCATTATGTTAGAAATACTTGTACTGAGTAGCTCTTTAAGTTGCTTCTTAGAAATAGTCTTCCTAAGTTAGTGTGGATGCCTGTAGAACAAATATGACCCAGTATTTTCTGTTGGTAAAACCTGAGGTTGTCAGTACCCAGCGCTATTGGTAACTCTCTTCTGCTAAAATTAATGGATTCATGCTGGCTATCCTCAGCTAAGGTCATGTAATGTTATTTTTTTCACTGAATTTAGTGCTGATGCATATAATATATTCACTCCCCAGGTGACTCGCAGGTGGCCTACTTGATACGACCCCAAATTCATGGGATACGTGGTACAACAAGTGGATGAGACCACGAGCAACCTGCTACGGGCTCAGAGTTGGCAGAGCTCTGTGAGATAGCTTGGGCTTAGCAGCCTGGGGTTCTTTCCTACCCAGCCTTTTTAATGCCTCCGTGATGAGCCAAAATCTCTGATCGGATCTGTATCTATTTCCCACAGCCTCCTTAACGTACGGCAAGTTCTGCCACTTTATATTTAACCAAATACTGCTTTTATTTCTTTGCCCTCACAGTGCTAGCAGAGATACAACAAATGGCCATTGGTGAAAGTATTCCCACCCTTCCCACTGTGTTACCAGTGCTCCTGCTGACATTGGGTCGGGATTTAGCAGGGAGGACACGGGGATTTCAGACCATCTGGTAGAAAGATTAAGAGCCTTCAAGATACACATGAAACGATGCGTGATTTTTTTTCATCAAAATATGCCAGTGGCAAAATCAGCTTCCAGGTCACAGCTCTTAGAGGGCTGTAAAAAGTAACTGCGATCCTCAGCCAACGTGTGGGGGTTATTTTCTCATTAACACTTAGTTTGGCAATCCCATAATTCTTCCATTTTGGGTCAAATCTTATAGTTTGCAACTACAGCAAGGCGTGTTAGGAGCCAGCTGCAAGGGGATGGAGGCTGTGCCCCTGGGAGCTGTTTAGCAGAGTTTGTGGCTCTGAAACTCAGCATCTCCACCATTATTTTTTTTTTCTGTTTAGGGAAAGTTGAAGCATATTTTGGTCTCCACAAGTGCTTTTCAAGACAATGAAACGCATTTTACCATGACTCAGGCCTTCTGTCCATCTTCCCTTTGATGTTAGTGCTGTTTTAGATGTATTTGGTTCAACATATGTTTGAGAAACAAAGCTGCAGCCCATCCTATTGATGAGACCTTAGAGGACTATTTCGCAGGTAACCCAGGAAATGTTATTCTATAAATAGCATGAAATAGTGGCACAGAATCTTGAAGGGGTTACAAATTGCTCTGTAGTCACATCCAGCAGGGACACTTCTCAGTTCTGCTTTAATTCTGCATTCACCCAGAGGGTGGTGAGGCACTGGAACAGGTTGCCCAAGGAGGCTGTGGATGCCCCATCCCTGCAGGCATTCAAGGCCAGGCTGGATGTGGCTCTGGGCAGCCTGGGCTGCTGGTTGGTGACCTGCACACAGCAGGGGGTTGGAACTAAATGATCATCATGATCCTTTTCAACCCAGGCAATTCTATGATTCTATGATTTGTTAGCTTATTCTGTTCTCCTTGGCGTGTGCCATGCATGAAGTGATTCTGCACCTGTTGGGGCTCTTCCACTTTGCTGCCAGAAAATCCAGCCTCCTACAGACTGATGCTGTTGCTTGACCAGTAATTAAGCTAATTTTCAGATATTCTAGCAGATATGGCCTTTAGAGGTCCCTTCCAACTCAAGCCTATGAACGTATTTTCAATTGCTTCATTTTATAAATATTTCTTAGTGAGAATATAGTGTTATCTGTATGGTGGGCACAACATGGACACATCACTCACCACTTATGGCGTTCCAGGTGTAGACTCCAATGGGTCCCAGGAAGGTCTGGTAGGGGTTGCTCACAGTGTTGGTGCACGTAAAGCCAGAGCTCAGGAGGGAGCTCAGCAAGATGAGAACCAGAAGCACGATGATGGCTGTGTTGATGCTTTTTGTTCCACTGCTGCTCAGAGCATCTGCAACTGGGAGAGAGAAGGTGCCCAGGGTGTTTAAATGCACTCAGCAGGTCAAGGGTTACTGACACCTAGCTAATTGTAATTAAAAGCTAATAACCAGAGATTTGGTTGAGCTGTAGAGGTGCACCAGTAGGAGCAGTAGGTTTGGCTGCAGCGTATAAGCCCAAATCTGCAATGGGATGGAAGTATCTTAGCCTGAAAAAAGTGCATGCCTACTAATCCAACTGGCACAGAAACCTGTGGGTTAGGTAGCAAGCTTCTCTTCCTTAATGTTTCTGAGAATGTTTCATCTCGACAAGGCCAGGCAGAAATTCTATGCTAAGCTTGCCAGGAAGCTCACTGCTGCTGCCCATCATCCCATCCCTGCTGGCTTTACAAACATTTTTAAGTCTGATGACTTAAAACTCAGTTTCCACTGCAGATTATTTCCTTTCAGTGCAGCAGCAGTCCTCTCGTGTGGAGTGAATGTGACCAGGGAAACAGCTCCTAAAAGTCCAGCTAGCCAGATGTGCTTGTAGGACAAACGTGCCCACGTGCAGCCATGCACAGATGGATGAGGCTGGGCACTGAGCTGGTGCTCATATCCTGTTACATCTACTATCTACCTCTTGCATCATCCCACAGGAAGAAGTAAGGCTGGGGAAAGTGTCTTCTGCCCTCTTTGGAAGGAAAGGAGCAGCTCCTGCTTTTTGTTATCTGGGAGGATGAGTGCACCTCAGGGCTCTCCAAACCCACAGGCAAGGAAGCTCACGGTTAGCACCTCTGCCCTATGCACCAGCTTGCTGCATAGGGCATCCATCCTGTGCAGGTTGTTGCTGTTTCTGTAGCTGTGTGCATGGCTGGCCCAATGCACTTGGTACATGCAATCAGTCTCTTCAGGACTGTAATCAGTTTTACTGTTTTACCTACATCCTTCCAGTTATTTGATACCTATGCAGATAACCAGCATACTCAAAGTGTCACTGCAGCAGAGCTACACTGAAATAAGTATCCTCCTTTCAATTTAAAGCTTGAGAAGGCAACTGTAATGTGCCTGAGGCTGCCTGAACATATAACAGATCTGACATCAGCGTTGTCATGCTCTGCTCAAAAAGGCGTTGTGATAGACGGCCATCTGCAGGGAAACTTCCCCTCTGTGCTGCTCTTCATGCAAAGCCCTTACTGCAGTGTTCAGCTAGCATGTGGATTGGGGGAATCATAGCAGTAAAAAGAACAAAACCGTAATAAACAGCCATAAAAAGAAAATAAACATTCAGAGCGAAAAGAAGAGCTGCTGGAAATAAATTAAAAGGAGAGCTTTCATCTCATTTAATGTTTTATTTTTAGTAGAAGTTAATTTTGGTTTGAACAAATGGCAGGTAAGGATGCGTTATGGAAATGAGATGCAGATTTAAGCAGTTCTGCTAGAAGAAAGGGAAAGACAGGCATTCAGGAGGCATTGCTCAAGGAAATGGAGGTGAGCGCAGCACAGCTGTGCTGGTGCTGAAGCAGCCTTAATGCTGTTGCCTACCACAAGAAACACGCTTGGGCCTGAAGCAGACAGCTGTGCATGATTTCCCTCTGGCAGCCTCCCTTAATTTTATCCCTGGGAACATTTCCAGAGCTGACGGCTGCACCCCCTCATTGCACTCCTTTTGTCCTAATGGCAAGCCACCACGCAGGGGATGTACTTCTGCCAGACTCCACCTGTTGCAAGCATTCCTGCAGCAACACAGAGCTGAAGAAGGTTTGAAATAAAATGCACCTTTCTTCTCAGCAGACATTTTTCCAAACAAGACAGGCTGTGCAAACTAGAGGACTCTCCAGTAGCTGGTCTGCTTGAATGTGACAGAAATACCCCCTGTGTGAGGGTAGAACAGCCTGAGTGCAGAACAAAAGCAGAGGGCTGTGCCTCCACCAAGTCCTTCATATTTCCTTATACCTCCTTTTCCTCATCTGTAACTCTCATATGGTCAGATTCAATTTCCCAAACTTTCCACTTGGCACAGGGTCCCACAGAGGACCTGGAAGCTGATGAGAACTTTGGTGAATATCCAAGTGCCAGCAGTATTCAAGCATTTGTTCTGTATTTTAAAAGGTAGAAAATGAATCAATTCCTCTGTGTCATAGTGAACTTCTGAGACTTCCTGGAGTGCTGCTGATTGCTGGGCTCTGGGTGTGCCTCTGCACCTTGCTCACTGCTCTGTGGGTCTGACTTGGAAACGAGCACAGCTGTCACTGTTGCATGAAAAGCTGGTTTGTTTTTGAGGCGAATCCTTAAAGCAGCTGATGGAGGCTCTAAGGATTGAAGTTGTTAGGTAATATCTGTGTTTGGCCAGGTTCTGAGCATCCCCAGGGCCTCTGAAGCAGCCCTGGTGTTTTGTTGCTTTGTTAAGCTTATCCATCGTGCACTGTGTGCTTGTAGAATCTGTATTTCTTTGTTTGACTTTCACCTTTAGGCTCTGAATTTCTTTTTGATGGTATGGTATCCAAGTGTTAATACTGCCTTTGCAGAGGCTTAATGAGAGAAATCCTACCATCTTGGGACAGCCTACTTCTTATGTTCCTATAGGAAAAGGTTGCCCAAGGAGGCTGTGGATGCCCCATCCCTGCAGGCATCCAAGGCCAGGCTGGATGTGGCTCTGGGCAGCCTGGTCTGCTGGTTGGTGACCCTGCACATAGCAGGGGGTTGGAACTGGATGAGCACTGTGCTCCTTTTCAACCCAGGCCATTCTATGATTCTATGATTTCAATTTAAAATCAGTATGCATGCAGGTCTGTGAAGTATTTCTCCTGTTTTAAGAATGCACAGAATCCTACTTAATACAAAGCACGACAATCATGTCTAGTGTAGGACCTAAGAATTAATTTTAAGTGAGCTCATTTTGTCTTGGAGACATGCCTGATGTAGCTAGTGAGGGATGCAGGCATGTCCATATTTAGAGTACTCAGGAAGCATCTTCTCAGCAGCTGTTGAAAACAACGAGCAGCTCCTGAAGCTCACTTGATTTATCCATCTATAAACGCTGTGTATGTGAGAACTGCGATGACACTTCCTAAATGATGAGCCCAAAAATTTAAATCTGAAGGAAGACAAACTACAGTGATGACTAAACGTATGTGGACAGCGCAAAGAACTGATGGGATGCTTGGCAGTGCCCAGGCTCTGGGATTTGGTTGCATTCATTGCTTTGCATGCAAAGGCAAAGCACGCTCCAAACTCCTGCCAGCCTGCATCCTCTGCTGGCCCTGCCCAGCTCCCCATGGACAGAGTCCTGCTTTCATGCAGCACCCTACTCAAATGAGAAATAACATACCTGGATGGAGCCAGGTGTAGTGCCTGAGCCACCTGGTGTGGGCAGGTACAATCATATAGAAGCTAGTTTTGTAAATGCATATTTGTTTTTTTCTAAAATTACTTTGATTATTCTGATATGACAGAAGAAAACTAGTCTGAATGACTTGTGATTTAATAGCTGTTGGGCATTGACCTCAGTATATACTTTGTTAGGAATGCTGCTGCACTCAGCTTTTTCATTACAACGTAATCATTGCAATGTGAACTGACATCCACAGTATAGCTCTGTCACACTGCTAATTTGGGTGCCTCAGGTGTAATTTTCATACTAAATTCAGGTGGGAAAGAGCTGGGAACCATCTGGATGTTCAGATCAGCTGTGCTCTGCCTGGGAGGGTTTGGCTGCTCCTGGTGCTGGGGCATCTCACAGCCCACTAAAAAACAGAAACCTTTCTTCAAGTTTCAAAGCTATTTGACCTACTCTCCCAAAAGACAGCAGTGTTTCTTCTGACTGCCTTCTCTGCTCTTTCACATGTGTTTGTGTGAGCGTTGTGACTTCAAACCAGTGCAAATCCTTGTACTTTGCAGCAGCAAAGTCCAGTCCAAACTTAGCTAACTTGGGCTTTTATGAATATTTCTGTTAATGTCAGCAGAGCTCCTTGTGCATAGTGGTAGTTGTGCTGAACTGAGATCAGTATGCAGCCTGTGGCTGCATTTGGTATGCATCACTTCTTGTTGCTGTTCTGCTTTTTCTCATGCTTTCTTTCTCATTACTAAAGTTTTTCACACTTCTGTAATAACTTTCTCCAAGGTCTTGCTAGGTAAGCCCTATTCTTTTTTCCCCTAATTTTTTACCTTTATTTTTTTCCCATGTAGCAGCTCTCTTCCCTTGTCTCTCAATTGTTCTCTTTGTAACTATTCAACCATTTTTATTATTTTTCACCTTCTGCTCTTAATTTTACCATCGAGGATAAATACTGAGAAATGCAAATGCACAAAATAATAATAATAATAATAATAATGAACTGGGCTACATAGCAACAAAATATGAACAGCCTACAGCTTTTTGCTGAAGTGCTATTTAAGAACCTCAGTCCAAAACCTTGGAGACAAAGAACCACCTGGAAAAGGTGTGGTCACCTGTGCCTTTGGTGAGGGCCTTATAAAAGATGACAAGCTGATGTCATAATGCATACGTCACAGATGAGTGTTTAAAAGACATGAGCAGGGATAGGTTTTGAAATACGACATGCTTCGGTTTAATAATATCACTTAGAAATGGGATGGGGTTCTCTTGAAAGAAGAAATAAGTGTTGTCCTTAAAGTGCAGGACTGCCAGATACATAAACACCATCTCTGTCTAAATTATCTTTACGTGTTTTGCTCTTCTCCCTTCAGCGATTTCAGAACCTTTCTGTATACAAATGATGCTAATTTGATCATAGGCAGGGAAAACGTTTTAAATCAAATGATTAATTTAACATAATGAAATTTAAAGGAAGCCAAATTAGTTCTGTACGCCTTTAATGAAATGCTAATAGAGTGTTGCATTCCTGTTTGTCGCTGAAAGCTTCTGAAAATTAAAATCTGTTCGATGCAAATCCTGATCCTGTATTGTTTCCTCCTTTGGAGGCATGGGCTAAGGCCACACATCATCAGAAGTTGCCATTGGTAGCAACACTTCAGCATTTGACTGCCTTTCTTGGCAGTCTGACTTGGCATTTTATACCATTTCAAATCCTTGAGACAGTTTGTAGATATTTTCATAGATAATTTCATTAAGGTTGGAAAAGGCCTCTAAGATCCCCACGTCCAACCCCATCCCACCTGCTCCATGCACACAAACCATGTCCCTGAATGGAACCATGGGGGGGTTATTAGGGTTGGAAAGACCTCTCAGATCCCACAGCCCAAGCCCAGCCCACCCCCACCATCCCTCAGTGCCACGTCCCTGTGGTTCTGGAACCCCCTTCAGAGACAGGGACCCTTCCCCACTCCCTGGACAGCTGTACCAGTGCATCAACGTTCTTTTGGAGAAGTTTTTCCTAATACCCATCCTAAACTTCTCCTGAGGTTCTCACTGAAGGTCTTAGAGCTGTAGATGAAGGAAGAAGGGCTGTTCCTGCATCCCTGGTGCCACCCAGGCTGGCACCTACTGCCATGAACTTCTCCTTACCTTGGAAATTGCTATCTGAGATCTGCAGCCCGGAGTTGATGACCTGAGCACAGGTCAGTTGAAAGAGCCCATACGTGAGGCTGACGGTAGTGGTAGAGTTCCCTCCAGAGAATCTGACCTCGCTGTTCATCCACCCCTGGGTTCCCAGAACGGCACAAATGATGACAAAGGATGCAATGCTGGTGAAAAAAGCACCTCCATACATCAGTGTTTTCTGTCTGGTTGGCATTTTGGCTGGAAGATTTTCCACAGGCTCAGATTTCCTTCCCTTCAGGTGCTGTTGGGCATACGGTCGTTCCTCCCTTTGCTCCCTGGAACCTGCTCTGTGTGCTAGCTGAAAGTCATCCTGGTAAACTTTAAGCAGGCAGCAGCAGTCATAAAAACGTAAAATAACTGAACTTTGGTCTGGAGAAGAGGCGTTACCATGGCTGTACCCAAACACCCCTGACATGGAGGGGAGGGAGCTGCTGCTGCCAGGGTGTGACTTACTGTTAGTGCCCAAGGAGGGCATTCCCACGGCTCCCCTCCTGAGCAATTCTGGAGCCCAAACGGAGCTCCCTGACCATGTTTTCTGGATTTCTCTTCTCCCAGGTAACTAATGATAGGATGAGAGGTCATGGCCTCAAGCGGCACCAAGGGAGGTTCAGCTTGGGCATCAGGAAAAAATTATTCTTGCACCGGCACAGGCTGCCCAGGGAGTGGTGGGATCACCATCCTGGAGGTGTTCCAGAACCACAGCGATGTGGATCTGGGGTGGCCTGGGGTTGGGCTTGGGGATCTGAGAGATATTTTCCAACTGTAATGGCTCTGTGATTCTATTCCTGTGTTTTCTTCTGGAAGGTTGGTACTTAGTCTGGAAACAATTTGTGCTAGCTCTACACCCCGATCCCTTTGGAAGCAAGCAACAGATTCTGATTTCTGACGGTGAAGATGGATAAGTGTTCCTTTGCTCTGCTGACTCCCAGCTTCCTTAACAGCTGCACTCCACTTTTGGGACCTCTTAAATTCATATTCTTGATGCTGTGACAGGACCAGGCTGCTGCTCTGGGCCATTTCAGGGTGAAGGATTTTCCATGTAGTATCAAAAAATTATTTTTTTCTAAGAGAAAGCTGTAAATCTTTATTAAATTCTGTGCATTTTTACACAATACCTATTCCCTCTTTGTCTCTCTCTTTTTTTTTTTTTTTTTTTGTTTCTTTGCTTGTTTGGGCTCTGTTAAGTTCCAGTCAATTTCTCTAAGCATCACTTGCTTTAGATGTGTAATGATCTTTGATTGCACTTTACCAATGGGGCTTTCAGCCTTCAGCTCTTGTTCAGCTCAGACATGAAATATGCATTATTTGCCGGTTGCCTAACTGCTCTACAGGGAGGAAACAAACACCTTAAAGAGGGATTCATTTCAGTGGGCTGGTGAATGTGTAAAGGAGGCAATACAGAAGGAAATCTGCCCTGGGCGATTCAGCAGGAGAAACATTACAGTGGAAGTCAAGTTTGAAATCAATGCATTTTATTTCTGAGATGTATTGCTGGTCTTTTATATGATACGGTCTCATGTATATTTTTATTTTATATGGGATTTAAAGGATACTTTTGATGTCATTGCTTTTATGAACGTATACATTTTGTTTGTGTACCTTGCATATACTTCATAGAGAGTCAAACTTTGCTTGCATGCATGCTTTAAGCACTGGAGAGCCAAGGGAAGATTTCAGCCCTTCTAAACAAATGAGGAACAGGAGACCTGCCTTCCATTTTCCTTCCAGACCTTCAGTTAAATTTTAACCACAGAAGGACAGATAAACTTCCTTATGATCACCACTATGGGTCTGTCAGTCCATTTTCTCCACCCTTTGGTTCAGTGCTGCTGGGGAGGAGTCAGTGATCCTCTCCCAGAGAGCTTCTCCCTTTACTGGGTGAAGCACAGGGAGTAAAAAGTTTCTGCCCTGGTTCAGCTGTGCTGCTTGACCCAGTATGAAATACATTTAAAAGATATATATTGAAATATTAATATTTGTCCTGGTGCTGAATTTGAGGGAGCGCTTTTTCAGCAGCTGCTCAGTGGACCTCCTTTGGCAGACTTGAGAGAACCTAATATAAGCAAGCTGAGCATGAAAGCTGCAGGGGATAATGTGTAGTTCCTTTCTAAGAGATCTTATTCAATTATTCTCAGTTTTCAGGGACTCAGCTCAAGTTTTTGTGGCTCAAATTGTTGAAACTCTCCTGTGGCCAGGAGAATCACCCTGTAAATGAGCCCATAATTTGCCCTTTTCTTCCTTGTTACCTTGAAGTTAATCCATCCTCTGTTGATGGTGCGATTGCTTGTGTCTTTTCATCCCATAGCTACATAAAAAACCATTGTATCTCCTGTATTTTGAGAATCATTTATGCATTTCATAATCTTTCCAGAGCAAAATCATCACTTTCCAATGCCATGCTCCTGCTAAATCCTAAAGATTAAACTACAGCTCTACGTAGGGAGGTTTCCTCCTACAATGGCAGCATTTCCATGCCTTGCTCCAGGCACTCTCATGGAAATTCGGTCTGACATGGCACACCTCACTGCTTCAGGGAAAAGAGAAGAGATGGGCTTCATCCAGCTGTGATAAAATGTGTCTCTATCAGTAATTTACCAGCTCTGCTCCAGCTAGTGATGCTGCAGTCCTTACACAGCAGTCAAAAAAAAAAAAAATCAGAGTAACTCACTGGGACCCAGACAGCAGAGAGATGTGGAATACAATTACACATAGCCTTGTATTTTTAAAGGAGGAATATGTATTTATCTCATATTAATGTGCAAGTTTGCTTTAGGCAACTAGATCTGCTTCAAAACAAGCAAATATACATATATACAGATATATATAATGAAAGTTTTATTTGTGAACAGAATGTTCCAGCCTGCTGCTGACTCAGACAGGCCATATCCTGTGCCCCTGCTGACCACTGAGTGGCCTCACAGCTGGTCCAAAGGCATTTTCCTATGGTGGGTTATGACACTTCGCATGGATTTCTCTTCCTGTGTTGCACACGTGCTCTGGAAGGAGAACCCAGCCATGCAGACACAGTGCAGCAGCTTGCAGGCAATGTGCTCACCCACGCCCTGCAGCCAGGGAAAATTCAAGGTGAGCCACTGCAGATCATCTGTTCTGCTGCGACCGCAGCATTTAACAACGTTTACTGGCAGTTCACAAAATCCCACATTTAGTTAAAATCTTTCACTTAGAAAAATGTCAGGAGGTAAGTTAACATAGCATCGTGGTCGGCCTGTAGGTATGTGCTGTTTTCCTGGGAGCCCACTGTTTCAGTGCACCCTTGCAGATCTCACATACCCTTTACATCCTTTTTATTTTCCATTTTCCACGTCTAGTTGCAGAGGAGAGCTAAGAAGGCAAAGTCCTTGAGCTGCTCTTGGCTCCAAAAGGGGGTCAATAATCATCCACGTGTGCACAGCACTGCAGAAGGAGGCTGTGCATTACTAATTATCTCTACCTCTTCTAAGCTGGATAAAAGGTAATTGAAACAACTTGCTGGAAGTGTAATAGAGAATACTAAGAATGAGATTGATTGATTTTTTTTTTTCTGATAGCTTTGCAGCCAGCATTCTGAGTGGTGATGGAAATAGGAATCTGCTGATGTCCTGTGGGCTGGCTGAGGGAAATCAGGTAAAGCATCATGAATTTTATTGTAGCTGGAGATGGAAATCGGAAGCTCAGCCGAACTGCCAAATTATTGCAACAGCTGTTTGGGAAACTTGGATATGATCACAACATTTTGTGTATCTGCTCCCAGCGCTGCTGTGTGGTGGATTTGTACTCCTGCATCTTCCGACTTCCTTCTTCTATTGCTCTGATCCTTTTTACAACACTGCTGCAAGAAAAAGACAAACACGTTTCAAACACTGATTGGATTTCTTCACAGAAATGACTAAATCTCTTCAATGGACAGGTATTGACTTCTGTCTCTGGGTATCAGTAAGCGCTGCTCCCAACCCTGCGAAGCAGCAGCCGTGCTGGGAGCAGCCACCAGGAGCAGTGACTGTTGGCTTCCACCTGGACAGAGAAAAAGGAGGAATCATAAATCACAGAATGGCCCAGGTTGGAAGGGACCTCAAGGATCATGAAGCTCCAACCCCCCCCCCAATGCATACAGGGCTGCCAACCTCCATATCTAATACTAGACCAGGCTGCCCAGGGCCCCATCCAACCTGGCCTTGAACACCTCCAGGGATGGAGCATCCACAGCCTCTCTGGGCAGCTGTTCCAGCACCTCACCACTTTCATAGTGTACAAAAGAAGGAAGATCCCAAAGTCACCATGTTGGTATCAACACAAATGTGCTGGGAAAAATCCTGTTTTAAAATGTTCACCTGTTGTAAAAGAGCATCCTTCAGTTTCACCATCTGAGCGAGCTGTCTGGTGTCTCCTCTGATATCCTCAGGCACAAGCTGTGCTGCTCCCAAATATCATTGTCATATATTTGCTATTCAGACATTCAAAGGCCTCATGGCTGAACTCACTTCATCTCAGTGGAGCAGAAGTGATGTTCAGCAGTATCCCCCCTTGCTGTACCCACATGGGACTTGCCAGGTGCTCAGGCCCAGGGCTGGTTTTGCTTCTTGAAACACTTGGAAAAAAAATAGTGTGGTCCATTGCAGTAAAGTAAGAAGTTAAACAAACAAACAAAACTTGGAAAGCATACAGATATTTTTCATTTTTCTCTAACCCTGAGGGCTAAAAGGTATAATTGCCCTAGAAGATGACTGTTACAAAACTTTAATCTTTAAAACAACATCTTTAGACATCGAATAGCTGCTGCCATTCATGACTGAGCACTCCAAGCTGGGTGGTCAGATAGAGCTTGTTGAAGAGCAGGGAAAAAGCCTTCTGGTCTTGTGTGAAGCAGATATTGCCTTTCAATTTTATTCTTTTTTAATTTTTTTTTCTATTTAATAAAATGTGACTTAAAGCTTCTTCAAAGCATGTAATGTTTAGAACAAATCCTGGAGGTGGAGATGGAGGGAAGAGCTGGCAGAGCAGGCTTTCATTTACTGCAATTTCTGTAACAATTATGAAGACAAGTCGTCTCAAATACTTAAAGACATCCCCTGAAACCTTTAAATTTAGATTCCAAATGTAAGAATCTGAGACAAATGTCTTTGAAGTCACTAAATTAGCTGCTGCTGTGATGTTTCGTATTGCCACGCTTTCGTCCAATGACTCTCACTTTAAAGA